AGCGCACGAAAACGACAATTGCTTTACACATGTTACATATCGCAGCAAACATTGGAGAGCAATAATTTTAGGGCCATCAATCACTGATAACACTAAACTGATGAGCGGTAAAAGCTTTTAAAGCGTTGCCTATGGCCAATTTTGGATATTGTTGTTTTCTGAGGTTTCGCAGGCGTGCACAATTTTAAGGCTTGACATGTGTGGTGTATTTTTACCCGACGTGGCCCCGTCTTTTATATTTTACCAAAAAATTGGGTAACAATAAATGTTTTTTTAATTTTATATAGGGGAAAAGTTTAGAAAAAATAAAAATTTTGGTAATTTTTCCTTACTATAGTAAATAAAATTGTATAAAATTAATTTCAGTACACCGTTGCATGAAGGAATAAATGTCGGGCCTCTGCTTTCACAAAATATATACTTGTTTGGGGGTTTGAAGCTGTTTTCTAGCCAACAATATATATTTTACGCAAATAGTAAGAAACTGCTCTGGACACCAAGTGGTTAAAATAAAAATAAAAATGATTTTATGTTCCCGGGTACATTTTCGGGGACATAATTTGTCCGGGGATGGTCTCCTCAATCCGGGGACTGTCCCTGGAAATTGGGTGACAAATGGTCACTTTACACAGGAAGCCCTCACTATCTACCAGGGAGCCTCCACTGGCCATCATGGAGCCCCACTAACCAACAAGGATCCTCCACTGGCCACCAGGGAGCCCCCACTACCCACCTGGGAGCTACCACAGAGCTCCCACTAATTATCAGGGAGCCCCCACTGGCCACCACAGATCCCACACTGACCAGCAGAGAGCCACTGACCACCTGACAGTCCTCAATGGCCACCTGAGAGCCTAATTAGGGAGCCGCCTCTACTGCACACACACGCACCCGTGAAACTCTCTGTAGCCGTAGTGAGAGCCCGCACAGCTCACCTGAGAGCCCACACTGGCCACCTGAGAGCCCGCACAACCTCCTGAAAGCCTGCATAACCCTCCTAAGACCCTGGAGACATGAGATGGCAAACCCAGAGCAACATAGAGTATGTAGCTTCATATTATTCTGCATTGCTGTAATATGTATTGCTGGGATTTGTAGTCCTCTGTAGCCGGATTCCATTCTCCATTACTGTATAATGTATTGCTGGGATTTGTAGTCCTCTATAGCCGGTTGGGATTCTCTATTGCTGTATAATGCATTGCTGGGATTTGTAGTCCTCTATAGCCAGTTGCCATTCTCCATTGTTGTATAATGTATTGCGTATTGTATTGAATTATCCTTCGAACCAGAGGGACAGCAGTATGGATGAGGTAGTGATATAATGGTCGTGGGGGGTCGCAAAATGTTGTTCTGCCCCGGGCGTCCGCAACTCTGGTTACGCCACTGGTCCATTGAGACCATTTGCGTATCCCCGGCTTGTGGGAAAGCTTTATGGGGCATGGGAGGAGAATGTGTATGAACTTGTGTCCAACCCCTGAAGCTCTGAACCCCCGTAGGCTGATTTCCAGATAGATGTAGTAGCAGTACCTCTTGTGAGAAAGATAGTTGTACACTAGTGATTTTTGCAGGGGAAACAGAGGAGATTTTTTAGAGAAGTATTGCCAATGAGCTTTTTCTAATGTTTTCCTGTGTGGTAACATGAATAATGTGTCACTTTGTACCACTAACTTGTGGAAGCACCTGTGGCTCTTCCTCATTTGAACAGGTGTGATGAGTGACAGACTGAGGGAGAAGGTAAAACGGAAACATTATCATCTGTACTGCCTTAGGAATTGCTGCCAAGATAACATGAGACCCTTGGTCCCCATAGATTAATGAATCATTTTTTTTAGATTTTTTTAGACTGTAATTTTGATTATTCCACACCCCCTTCACTAAACCTGTGAAAGCTTGCTATACAAAACAACTGGCACCCAAGCTACGTGCAACCCCCCTAGAAAAATAGCCACTTTTGAGATGGGTGTGCTTACAAAACTACTGCCAAATATGTGGAAAGGGCCATTTTAATAGTCCATTTCCACATACTGAGACAAAGGTCAGCCCTTATTGCTTTCAGGGTAAATAGCATCACATATTAACATAAATACAATACTATATCTTTTCTTATTAGTATAAAAAAAAATGATTTGCTGTGCAAAATAATAAGAAAAAAATGAAGGTGCTGAAATCTGATAAGATCTTGACTGTAAAATCTTGCCATCTAATGCAAAAAAACAGCCACAATAAAAGAGAAAACATAGTGAAGAACTTTATCTTTTAAAAACTGAATTTCATTTTTCAAATAGCTTGGTTTGAACATAAGCCAAACCAAAGTACCAAAAGGCAAAGTTCAGTTGCATAACTTTGTTCGAGTTTAGATGTGCAAATATACACCGTTATAGGGAACATTTTCTTTTAGTGGATAATAGCAATTAACCTTTCTTCTTTTTGCCCCACTATTAAAAACAGGCAGAATAAAGACAAGAGGGATGCTACAAAATGTTTAACTTGTAATGTGTAAAAACTATGCCTAAAATTAAGGAACTAAAGAGCCATTTATGAAAAAACAGAAAACATCTGATGTAATGATAAAGTAAAAGGATTCTAGCTTATTAACACATGCTGTTTCTTGGTAAGTACACATATAATTCCTATAGAATTTCAACTTTTCTCATTGATCTGTTGCCTAAAGATAGATGAATGTATTTTTACTTATAAAAAAAAGCTTATATAGAGCATTATGTGACTGCACTGCTATACTTCTATATAGCATGATATTATTGTGAACCTGAAAATGTACAGATTGCATAATATATTGTTGGATAATTTAATCTACCGGTATGTTCTTGAAACTGTTGCTTGAATGGATTTTATAAAATTATTTTTTTGATGACAGATAGTTATCCTGTGTTTTTAGCAGTATGCATAGTTGATATTTGCTATAATTATGCTTTTAAATCAATTTGTTGTGTCACAGTGGCAGACTTTGAGTTTTGTAAGTTGAATGGAATGTGTATATATATTAGGGATGTACCGATACAAGTATTGGTGCCGATACTGAGCATTTTTATGAGCACTCATGAAAATGCCGTGATACTAAGTGCCGATGCTGGTGCTTAAAATTTTTAAACTAAAGCCAGCATTCACAAGAAGGCTGCTGAGGTCCCGCAAATCTCCTCCTTCCTGTGGAACCACGCCACCCGTGAGGCTGTCCAGGACCCCTGGTGAGAACCCGCATAGCCCACCATAGACCCTGCACAGCCCACCATAGAACCTGCACAGCCCACCATAGACCCCACACAGCCCACCATAGACCCCGCATAGCCCACCATGTTCCACGCACAGCCCCCCCGAGACCCGCGCAGCCCTCCTAAGACCCCACAGAGTCCTCCTGAGATCCTCCGTTGGACATCAGGCTGGCACCCCAGGGCAACACAGAGTTTGTAGCTTTGTATTACTCTGCATTGATGTATAATGCATTGCTGAGATTTTAGGTCCTCTATAGCCGGTTGCCATTCGACATTGCTCTATAATGTATCGCTGGTATTTGTAGTCATCTATAGCTGGTGGTATTCTGCATTGCTGAATAATATATTGATGAGATTTGTAGTGCCTCTTCTACAGCTTGGAGTTTGTGGCAAAACTAACAGATTCACAGCGTTTGCAGCTGGGTCTGGGCCCTGGTGCTCTACCACTACTCATAAATCATGTATTGTTTTAGAAAAACTGCCACATGACACTAAAAAAAGTATCGGTAATTGGTATTGGCGAGTACTTGAGAAAAAGTAGCAGTACTCATACTTTTCCCAGAAAAAATTGTATTGGTGCATCCCTAAATTTTTTTTTATCTATCTATCTATCTATCTATCTATCTATCTATCTATCTATCTATCTATCTATACTCTGCCGGACTGTGAGAGCGGTGTGGGAGGAGACGCCAGCCTCTCAGAGCTCTCCACCGAAGCTCTCGGCCGGCTGTCACTTTCTCTTCTCCCCGCTGGGACATAGAGCAGCGCCCAGCGGGGAGGAAAGAAATCGCGGATGCACCGATGCATTATGCCAAAAGTGCAATTTTCGGCCGATATGTTTTCGGCGGCCGATATATCGGTGCATCCCTAGTTACTATACATAGGGGTCTATTCACTAAGCTGCCGTAGGCAGCCGAGTGAACGGCCGACCTGAAGCGAAGTGAGCTGAATGCTGTTCAGCTATTCACTTCAGGCTGGTATGGCTGATTTCAGCCGTATATCGGCTGAAATCAGCCATACATCAGGTGGCTTCATGTGGCTTCGGGTTGGCCGAACATGCTCACCATGTTCGCTAGTTGAAATTGAAATAGCCAATAGGAATCTAGCAATGCATTCCTAAGTTTAATTTTTTTATTTATTTTATTCTGACAACAGCCAACGGCTCGATGTCAGAATAAAAAAAAAAGCAGTGTTTCTCTCATGGGAGGCCGGGAGAGGAAGATGCTGATCTCCCTGCAAGTGGCCGGAGCCAGCCTCAAGATCACGGTTGGCTCCGCCCAGCTGTCAGAAGCAGGCTGTCGGCCGGCCAATGGCCGGCCGCTCGGCCAGCTTCGGCTTTCACCTCGGCTCAGTCGAGCCAAAGCATATGCCTTCGGCTCGACTGACTTCGGGAGCTGTACGGGCTATAGTGAATAGCCCGTACAGAAGCCCTTCTGTTCTACTGAACCGAAGGGGTCCTGGGGCCGAAGCTAGCCGAAGGATCAGCCGAAGCTATGGCTAGATCCTTTGGCTGCTTCGTGAATAGACCCCATAGTATACAAAAGAAATACACATACAAAAAAAAAAGCACATATGATTGCTGCCAGTTTATGTAGGAGGTACTTATCCTTAAAACCTACTGAACTCATAAAACATATTTAGCTCACGTTTCAGGTTATTTATGCAATGTATTTGTTTTCAGGGTGAAAGCTTGAACAATGAATATCTTCAAGATTTTAAATGTTTTATTACTTGGGTTTTCTATAAACGCTTTTACAACCACTTCAACTGAAAATGGTAAACGTGAAGAATTTACCAATACTTGCGCAGTTATCTCATGCAGTCCACAAAAGTCCGCTGGATTGCCTGGCAGAGATGGAAGAGACGGTAAAGAAGGGTCAAAGGGTGAAAAGGGGGACAAAGGTAAATATTGATCCAGAGTACTGACTTTTACAGAGGTCACTGATTTCTACAAACAAACAAGAAGTAAAATATCAACTGGAAACACAGCAAAGAAGGTGTATAAAGAGTAACAGATGGGATAAGCATCACAAAGCTCACTGCCAGTATGAAAGCCCATAGTTAGATCTGCACTCCAGCACACAAATCTCTATAACCCAGAATTCATGTTACATGTTAGATCTTCAACAAACATTGCTTACACCCAATATTCAAACCACCAGCCTCATCTTTCTCTATTGCTTTCGGGTTCATTTACTAAAGGAGTTGAGAACCTTCAAACAACAAATTTTGTGAACATTAACCTCATTTACTCAATCATGTGCACATGAAATAAGTAAACATGAATATGTTTTTCATCTGATTGGATAACTGAAGTGAATATTAACTCAATGTATTGTGTAAAGATGCTTCACTCCTTTAATAAATCAGCCTATATGTCTCATGCTGCTCTACTACAAGTAATACCTCATGACTCTTAAATGCACACAGTGCTTCAAACATAAAAAATATACAGTAGACAGTGTTTCTTACCTCTCTTAGCAATCAGTGACTCATGCCTCTGATTAAATGCAGTGCCTCATGTTTCTGTATTACACATATTGTTTCATATATGCAGTGCCTCACATCTCTTTATTATCATCACAAGATTGCCGTTAAAGCCATCACATAGGATAAAGAATGGTCAAGTTTTCTCCTGCAGACCCAGTTTTGATATACTGTATGTACTTTCAGGCTTATTTCATAACTAGCGTAATGGCAGAAAGTGGCGATCCATAGCCTCAAGTCAGATTTACGTTTTGTGGAATCGGTTACGGAGTAATTGCAGGTTGCTGTGGGTTACTGCACTTTAAGCCTCATCATTATTTTGCACTGCCATATTACTTCCCTGCATCTGTATCTAAAGGTCCATTCACACTGGACGAACACTGGTAAAAGCAACGACACATAGGAGGTTATTCAATAAAGAGCCAAAGGATCCAGCCGTAGCTTCGGCTGATCCTTTGGCTCACTTCGGCCACCTCTGCCCTTTGGTTCACAATAGCCCGTACAGCAGCTGAAGGCAGCCGGGCCAAAGGCATATGCTTTGACTCGACTGAGCCGAAGTGACAGCCGACGCAGGGAGAATGGACTGGCGAAGGGCCGGACGTTCTCCATGCAAATGACAGCTGGCTGGAGCCAGCCGCAATCTCACGGCTCGCTCCGCCCAGTTGTAATGACAGATCAGAATCCCCAAATGACCTGGGGACGCTGAACTGTCATTAAATAACCCCCATAGCAAAAAATAGTTTACATTACTATGATGCATTTATATGTGTTGCATTTATGTGCAATAACATGCAATATGTTTGCATTTTAATGCACCTAAAAATGCATATAAAATGAGTCTAAACACTTTAAATGCAACCCAACGCACAATAGGCTAACAATGCGATGCTAACTGTGAGACAGAAACTCTGCAATAGATTCACAATAAATTATTTGCTTAAAGTGATATTTAAGTCAAAAGTGTTTAACCACTTGCTGACCGGGGTGTTAAACCCCCTTCCCATCCAGTATTAAGCTCTGCAGTACTTTGACTAACATTTATTCCGTCATGCAACGCTGTACTGAAATTAATTTTATCACAGCACGGAGGGAGATCAGCAAAGAGGAAGATGCTGAACTCCCTCCTATCTATCTCCTGATGCCCTCCCGAGCCAGTCCCTGGCCGCAGATGGGGTAGAGGATCCCGGGATTGAAGGTGAGGGGTCAGGAGGGGGTTCGGCGGCACTCGAGGGGGGGACGACAAAATCGCACCATACAACCGATCGGCGGCTATAGAGCTATTAGCAAAGGCACACTGACAGGTCCTCTTTATGGAGACATTAGGGGTCTCTAGGACCCCTAATGTCACCTGGGGACCCCAAAAGAAGCTGATGAAGCAGAGATCTGCTTCATCAGCGTCTTCTCTCTGGCTATAACAGCCAGATGACTGACAGGTGAATGCAGAAGTGATGTAAGAGCTGCTGCTATAGAGCTGCTGATCGGTTGTAGGTGAAAGAGGCGTTAACGGCTGTAAAAACGAGCGGGTCTTTCCTGCCCGTGCAGGGGACGCGCGCGAGCAGGAAAAAAATGCCGTCTGGAGACGGCAACCCGCTGATGCGAGTCTGACGTCCGTCCGTTTTTTCTTAACGGGCGGACGGCAGGAGGTTAAGCTATTTCAAATGCTAATGAAATCACTTACAATAGATGCTGCTTCTTGATGTTTAAAAAAAATTGTTTCCAGCAGAATCAGCTGGACCCCTGAACACTGACCCCAATATCCTATTTTAGGGGGCCCCTTTCTTTTGCAGGGTCCTATGGAGCCACCCTTGTGTATGCAAGAAAGCTGTGTGTGGCTCCACAAACAAACAGGCATAGCAAGGCAAGACATTCCCTTGCTTTCTAATGGTCCCTTTCTCCCTCCTCCTGTCTCCCTTCTCCAAGCTAGTAGATGGGCAGCAGCTGAAGGCTGTGCTGTCCCTTTTGATCCAGTAGTTAACAGGAAGACAAGACATAGGAGGTTATAAGGGTTTCTGGAGGGGTGTAAATGACCGTCCAAGAGAGATATATTTTAAAGGAATATACAAAATTTATTGCTAATACATGCTTGATTAATTGCATACATGATTCAAAACAATCTTATTAAAAATCAAAACCCTGCAGAGGATACATTGGTATATTCATTATTATCAACTCTAAAATTCATTTGGTCCGACAGTTCATTATGTTGTTCAATGTAATTCAGATGTGGTTACATTATTATAATCAGATGGTAGTTTTCAAAGCATAGCTTAACTTAATAGGCCCCGACGCGTTTCGCCATGGGCTTCACCAGGGGACCCATTGAGGATGAATCATGCCGGGTTGATCTACGGTATGAGGGAGAAGTGCCCAGGAAGCCAGTTAGGAGCGGGCAGGGAATAGACCCACCGTTGTCTCCACTGCTTACTTGGTTTGTCACACCTGGGACCCCGGGGTCCTTTGTGGAGGAACCTATATGCGGTATCGAGTCGTCCAATCGCAGTCGCCAGGAGTATTAGTTCTCTCAGATCGATATTTGTGGTTCGTGTGATTGCTGCTTTCACTCTGGAGTGCAGAAACTAGCCTGTAGCGTCCCGTGGCAGTCCCCACCTAATTATGTAATTAGGGGGAGAGGTGTAAAACTAGGTATACACAGGGGGACTACCCATAATTTAGTTAGTAGTTAACAGGAAGTTAAGGGAAATAGAGCTGAGAGAGTTGGAGTCAGCTCTTTGGAAATATGATGAAATGCTTGGGCAAAAATGTAAAGAAATAGGTTGTTGGGCAATGTAAATTTTTTTCATTATTGAAAAAAAGTTTGAGAGTTTAATACTACTTTAAGAAAAATGTATACTATTAGGCATGATTCAAAACATGCTGAACAATAGAAATAGGGTTTATATGCACTTTAAGATTACTTTTTGGCACAGAATGAACTTATCATAATGTGCAACTAGTGAGATCTTTGTTTTCCCTGTGAACCCCAGAATGTCTTCAGTACGTGGGCCCCCTTAGCAATTTATTTACAGATTTGTGTTTTGTTTGCTGGGTCTTATCCAGTGGTATACTGTAAAAATGATTCGTATGATGGTGGCAGATAATATTCAAGCAATGCTTCGAAATAAAGGGAAGGTGCACACATATTGTATAATAATCTTAAAGGAAACCTTTCCTGAGAGCAATACACATGCTGCCATTGATGATGAGTTACTAAAAAAAGCTAAAAGCTTGCAAAGATTACTAAGAAGAGAACCAAGTGCAGAACTTGTTTAGCATCCTCATGGGACCCCTCTGGAGTCTGGGGCTTTGGACAGCAACCTGTTCTGCCCCTATTATATTCCGCTACTGCTTACCTGTTTATGTAGTGAAATGCGAGTGAAATGGTAACAGATCAGCAAAAATATCATTGCTAAAAATAACAAAACTCCTCCAATAAGCACATGAAGTAATCTACATATATAGTATATCCAGTGGGTTGTCTATTATTACTGGAAAACAGTGATATTTACAGCATTCAGTTTAGGTTGGATCTTAAGGGGTCTATTCACGAAGCTGCCGAAGGATCTAGCCATAGCTTCGGCCGATCCTTCGGCTAGCTTTGGCCCCAGGACCCCTTCGGTTCAGTAGAACCGAGGGGGTGCTGTACGGGCTATTCACAATAGCCCGTACAGCTCCCGAACATTGCCGAGCGGCTCAGTCGAGCCGAACGCATATGCATCGGCTCGGCTGAGCCGTGCTGAAAGATGCACTGCTGAGCATGTTCGGCCGACCCGAAGCCATGTGAAGCAAGTCGATGTACGGCTGTTTTCAGCCGATGTACGGCTGAAATCAGCCGTACCAGCCTGAAGTGAATAGCCGAACAGCGTTCGGCTCACTTCACTTCAGGTTGGTCATTCACTCGGCTGCCTACGGCAGCTTAGTGAATAGACCATAAGTTTTGCTCATGTCTGAAGACCGTGACACATTGCACGCAAAGCCGTGCAGAGCAAAGCAAAGCTGTCCGACACGGAGCTTTGCGTGCGGTGTGCGAGCTGAGTGCAGGCGGATTATTGACTGCACCTTCAGCCAATCGGCACGTGCGTAACAACCCGCCAGACGTCGCATCCTGACACGCAGGTTTATATATAGTTTTCATCTCGCAAGCTGACGTGCTGGGGGGAGAATTACATGGCACACTGCACACCAAGGCAGCGCGCCACCGTTCCGCGCTGCTTCGCGTGCAGCGTGTCACAACCTTGATAAGGAACATACAACTATTTTTTTCTTTACGCTGATTTTTGGAAAGTGCTTTATATCAATGTGATTACATTTGTAAGTACAACTAATGTTTTTTGTAGCTGATGAAATTAAAACAATAGGGTAATGACATATTTCTAAGGCAGTACTCAGTTTCCAGTATTTAGGATTTTTGTTTAGGAATTCAGAAAATTGCACAATTGTTAAACTAGATATTGCATTAATTACAGTATATTTACACAATTTAAACAAATTAAACAATTTAATTTATATGATAATTACTGTAACTGTAATTACTGATAATGAACCGATTCCTTCACAAAGGACAACAGGGGTCTCGGGGAAGTCAGGGACCTCCGGGAAAGATTGGTCCGCCAGGAGCAAAAGGTGACAAAGGTTCCATTGGACAAAAAGGAGAACAAGGTGTCAGTGCTACATCAGGTGAGATAGCCTATTTAGCCTATTGCCAGTGTTTATCAATTAAAGTCTGTTCAAAGAGTAATTCAGGTGACTTATGGCATAACCATCACTGAACTCTGGGTACAAACAATTTTACAAAAATATATTGCTTAATAGCCACAAAGGATATAAATCTACTTTGTGTGCAACAAATGCTTTTGCAAATCCAGGGAGTATGAGTAGTGGTGATATCACCACTACACTGCAAATAACCTGTGCAGAGAGCAGATCTGTAGGAGGGACCCAGCAGGCCCCACCCACAACAGACTGCATGCAGTAAACTACATGGGGTGGATACAAGACCAGTGACCCTGTACAAGATGAGAGAGCAGCAGTGATTTTTTTTCATTATAGAAAGCTCCTGCACAAAGCAAAGTTTCACACTGCATTACTGCACAGATTTGGAAGACATACAGAAAGCACATCGAGATTCAACAATACACAGGCCTCTTATATTTTGGCAATATTTGTTCAGCTCTAAAATCACTTCATGTATTTTTAAAATTGTACATGATTTCCAATTATTGAAAAACAGTTTGATGTTTTAAATGATGTTTTATCTTACAGGAAATAGTTTATATAAATATAGTGGAGCCTTCATAATCCACACTCCTCCTTTCCTTAAAGTGTATTTATACTTTTGCAGCCAAATTGGTATGACACCTATTAGTGCTGGTATTTGTTGCTTTATACACTTTTATTCACTGTTTACTGGATTTGCTGTGAATTTCAATAAAGTCTGAAGTATTGGAATTCTCTGGATAGTGCGTTCTGTTCATATACTACTACCTATTTATATTTGTTACATATTCCCCTTTACAAAGCATCATTTGTTTAACCGCTTGAAGACCAGGTGTTTAGACCCCCTTCCTGGCCAGGCCGTAGAGCTTTCTTTTGGTGGTATTTAATCACCACTGCAGTTTTTATTTTTTACTATAATTAGGAAAAATTACTGAAAATTTTGAAAAAAAAATGTGTTTTTTTTAACATTATGTTAGGAAACATTTATTATTACCCAGTTGTTTGGTAAAATATAAAAGACGGGGTCACGTCGGGTAAATAGTAAACAGTAGAAAGGCATCATGGCACACTCACAAGTCAGCATGTAAAACAACTTGTCTCACCACTAAGGTTAATAACAGAGGTTTGGATACACGTCTTCTGCAGAAAATGTGAAAGCCGCACAGCCGCGCCAAGGCACCTCTTATAGTGCGGTCCTAACTCTAAACTATGAGAGTCTCCATCTTGGAGCACATCAAACAAACGTGGCCACCCTCCAGAAGAAAGGACAGAGTCAGCATGAATTTAACTAGTTAACATCCGCGGTGTTAAACCCCCTTCCCATCAAGGCCATTTTTCAGTATTCAGCGCTGCGGTACTTTGACTGACATTTATTCCGTCATGCAACGCTGTAATTAAATTCATTTTATACCATTTTTTAGGGACAGATAGAGCTTTATTTTGGTGGTATTTATTCACCACTGGGGTTTTTATTTTTTACTATATTAAGGAAAAATTACCGAACTTTTTTTAACAAAAACTGTTTCCCCTATATTAACTGATAAAACATTTATTATTACCCAATTTTTTAGTAAAATATAAGAGACAGGGGTCACGTCGGGTAAAAACCGTTCGCGGCCATATGTAACATGTGCGGTAATGGGAGCAATCGTAGTTTTTGCACGTATGCGCCCCAGACGCATGTTTGCATGCATGTATGTATGGGTGGGCACTTTAAAAAAAAATTTGTTTTATTCTTTGTTATGTTTAACTTTAAATTTGGGGGGGGGGGCTTTCATTTTTTTTCCTATTTTTTTTCCTATTTTTTTTCACTAAACTTTATTGCTATCACATAAAGGGGCAAATAAAAAACCCCTGTGTGATAGCAAAATATGTGGCAGGTCCTCTTTATGAAGACATCAGGGGTCTCCAAGACCCCTAATGTCACCTAGGACCCCCCAAAAGAAGCTGATGAAGCACAGATCTGCTCCATCAGCTTCTTTCCAGCTTCTGAAGCTGAAGAGTGACACAAGAATGCGGAAGTGATGTAATATACAACACTTCCGCATTCTGGCAGCGGAGAGGGGACTGGAGGGAGCTTGTGTACCGATCTCCCTCTAATCCCCTGTGACACAGGCACCATGCTGATCCCGGGCTCGCACCGGGCACAGCGGAGCCCGGGACAACGGGGGCGGGGGGCGCGGAGAGGGGGCACCGATCGTTACCCCATACAAGCGATTCGCCGGATTGCTTGTATGTTAACAGGCATCGCTGCCTGTTTTTGAATATCGGGCATTTCCCGATCTTGTCTGAGATCAGATCTAGAGAGCTCCTGGCCGCTCGTTTTTTTTACAACGGCCGGCCGGGAGGTAGTTCAAAAATGTTGCTTACCATTTTACTTGTTCTTTTGTAAAAACTCCAAAAACAAAGTTTTTCCATTCTGTCATTTCAAGGAGGTGGCCTGAGGGGGTTGGGCGTAAATGTTAACCATATTAAGCCTGTCTGTACTATGTTGCAGATCTCATTATCAGTTGGAAACTAGATTTGAACATTGTCAGTCCTAACAAAGGATTAAAGATAAGAAGCTTGGCTTCCTATATTGTATGTTAATGACAGGAAACTGATACTCCTTTTCTTGGGGACAGACTCAGTCAAAAATTGTTCAGAGTAGTCTGCAGTCTTATCTATTTCATGTTTAACTTAAGCAAAAGTCAACTGTTAAGTCATCATCTCCATCTTGCTGTTAACTTAATCAGAAAACATTGATGCAGGAATATGACAAGAATGGCAGGGAATTTGTTGACATGCCAACTGTGGTTGACAGCCTGGTGTCATGTTAGCTATGTTGTGCAAGAGGCAGGATGGTAGCAACTAGGGACAAATTAACTGGGCAAAGTTCGGTTTACAGGAGGGTCAGTGAACCTAGTATAAAGTCTACTAAGCCTGAACTCTATTGAAGTCTATGGGAGCTTATTCTTTTTTTTTTTCCTGGCCTTTTTTTCAAGGCCAGTTTGCAAGCTTTTGTTAAAAACAGCATGGGTAGATGGCCACTATCATGGGTCACTGACATGTACAAATGAAAACAAAAATTATAAAAAAAATTCCATATAGCAGGAAAAGGGTTAAAAATTGCATGTAAAGTTGGGGAGCAGTATGACAACTGCAAACAGGGATCTGCCATTTAGCAGCAGTAGATATGTGCGATTCGTTTCGTTCCGAATCAAAATTCGGAAGAATTTTCCAAAATTCGGACATATCTGAATTTCCGAATCCCAATGCATCCGAATGTGTCCAAATCCGAATTTTCATTTCTGAATTTCGGATCCCTTCCGAATTTCGTTCAAAAACTAAACTGAATAGAACATGACTTTTCTGGCCAATCAGATGTGTTTTTTGGTTTAATGGGTCTGAACACGAAATTTAGTTTACGGCAACATGGGAGCCAAATACAGGATGAACATATAATACTAAAGCTGAGGCTTTACCACAGAAAACCATATACAGATATTATTACTAAATATTATTAATACTAAAGCTGAATTTCCTAGACCCGAATGGCATTCGGGATCCGAATTTCCAAAATGCAATTCGGAAATTCGGATCCCTAATTCCATTCGGGTATAGGAGATTCAGCTTTAGTATTAATATATTGTTTTCTGTGGTATTCGCAACGACTATTCGTAAACTCATTCAAAACTAACGAAAATTCGGATTTCGTCCAAATCCGAAACCCGAACCGAATTGAATTTCAGATCAGAATCCTGAAATAACAAAATATCCGAACTGAATCAAATTTTTCCGCAGCTTTCATGTCTAAGCAGCAGTAGCATGTCATGTTCGGATTTCCCACAAATTGAGTCGTTTTTTTCTACATTTAGCCCTGCTCCGGGCAAGCAGGGCTAATTTGCAGCTGCTCGTTTTGCACAAAAATAAAAAAAATAAAAACAACAACAAAAAATGTAACAAAAAATTAAAACCCTGCCGTCCCCGCCATCTGGTTGCCATTCTCCATTGGAGAGGGGGGGTTTGGCGAGGAGGGGGGCGCATTGAGGAACCCGGCCTAGGGGTAGCAGATAGTAAATCCGGCCCTAGTCATGATCATATTTGGTCAATGATGTCACTAAGAATCCTGGGCCTATTTGTTTGCAAACAGAAGCCCTTATTCATTTACTTAGTGGGGAGGGTCAGACATCTGGAGCCCCCCTTATTATAATGCGTCCCCCATCCAGATCCCCACATCCACCAGGCCAGGGATGTGGGAAAGAGGCCCTGATGCCTTGCCAGTGGGGAAACCTTCCAGTGTTGAGATGATGTGGTATCATTTGTTGGGGTGGAGCATGCTCTCTGCCCCTCCCTTTTCTGACAGCCAGGCTGCATGCCTGGGCTCCCCCTCCACATCCATTTTTATTAAAGATAAGAGTTTAGTATGGGTTTTTGAAGGACCACATGCCATTTAATTTTTTTGTGTGTGTAGGGTCCCTCTTAAAAACCCATATGACACCCCTTTTATACCATAATGGTCTGGTATAAATTTTATGGGGAACCTCACATCAGGTTTTTTTTATTTTGCAGGGCATGTGGCATGGTATGTTTCAGGATGGGTGGCACACGTTTGCTGATCCTGCCCCCCCTTCCCCAATCCTGGCCACCAGAATGCCTGGATAAAGGGTCTGGTATGAATTTAAAGGGGGACCCCAAGCAAAAAAACAACAAAAAAGATGCATGGGGCCCCAAGAAGTCTATTCAAGACACATCCTTAATAAGGGTCAGGTATGGATTTGGAGATGATTCTAGGCTAGGGGGTCCCCTTCAAACCAAACACTTATCAAGGATAAGGGTCTGGTGTGGATTTTGGGTGGAGCCCCACACCTTTTGTAGAAACAAAACAAGGCCATCCAAAAAATTGCATAGTTTTTTTTTATAATTATCACTTTTACATAAATATATCATACAGGTGTGCCACTTGTGCAGGTTTAAGGTATTCCTAAAGCATATTATTGAAAGGATTTGTGTATTTTTAATGTTGCCCTTTAAGCCACATTGAAGCACTTCCTTCCAGCTGAATGGTACTTTTTAAAAGTACATGGCTGCCATGTCAGTGCCCAGCTAGCCATGCCTCTTTTTATCAAAAACGTTGTAAATTGTCTTTGAAAAAAACCAAACAACATTCTGGCACTATGTTCAGGGGTTTGTAGATTTCTTCCAATGTCCAGCTAACTGAATCTTACTTAGTTTGCTCATCACTACTGTCGATGCATTTAGCAGTGATTAACTTTGGCCTTTCTAATTAGAGGTTGATACTGTCAAGGACCAGTTGAAGGTGTTTGAAAGAGAGCTACATCTGCTTCAAGCAAGTCTTAAAAAGTATAACAATAGTAAGTAACAATTTTGGAGTGATTTAATGAAGTTCAAAATATGTAACAGAACTTTAATTTTGCATATTTTTCTCTCTTGAGCTATGAGGCAGGAATATCTATTTCTTGCTTTCTAGTGCACTAGCTCAATATCGAACCCCACCCTTCCACCCCCAATGCTGGCTCTTCTGCTCACCAAGTCAGTCTAATAATATTGATGTGAGAGGAATAGTTAATTACTTACTTCTGTATTACCAAGCCAATCATTTCCTGACTTTAGTCACTGCAGCAGAGGCCAACCAATGTTCACAACAGTGGATTCCATTGGAAGATACAATTTTCAGATCACATTCAAACCATGGGGATCTATTCCGTATTACAGATCTCTCATCTATGTACAGTAATCTGTACTGAGAGCCCAGAGATGTGTTAAGGAGACACTAAACTCAGGAGTTAAATCTTAAAAATGCATTCAAGTGCCCTAACTATTAACAAAAGTGTAGCTTATTCATGTATCACTGAGCTGTAGATCCTCAAATCATGTCTGAATTCATGCTGACACTGTCCTTCCTTCCAGAGGGTGGCTACTTTTTTTCCCCATGGTCCCTGTGTGTGTGGCAAAGTAGTCACTGCTCCAAGCTTGCTCCCGTGATGGACTACAATCTCAAGTTTAGTTTACTCATTTGTATTTTAGTCCATCACAGGGGGGGAATTTGGAACATTAGCTACTTTACAACACACACAGGGACCATAATCTGTTTCGCTTGCAATTTTTCAGTTCTGCTCTTCCATGGCGGGAAACAAGCTGGTGAGAAAGTATTTGTGACCAATGGCCTTGAAGAAAACTTTGAAAATGCCCAGAAGACATGTAAAGAAGCTGGAGGAAATTTGGCTACTGCAAGAAATGCAGCAGATAATAGCGCTGTCCAAGAGATTCTTCACACTAAGGGAGAGACAATCAAAGCTTTCCTAGGTATATCAGATCTGCAGGTTGAAGGGATATTCAAGTACTTGACAGGAGAGAAGATGACGTTTACCAACTGGAACCTAGGAGAGCCAAATAACAGCAAAGACAATGAAGACTGCGTAGAGATTCAGGACAATGGTAAATGGAATGACATTCCATGCAATTTACTGCGACTAGTTATCTGTGAATTTCAATAGAATTATTTTAACCTATGGCAGAAGTATCCATTTTGGGTGTGGATATTTCACTATATGTTTATCTTCTAAAGTGTATGAAATAAAGAAATATCAAAAGTAACATTGTGTTAGAAGTCTGTACATAGATTGAATATGAATGATTTTGGTGCATTCCTTTTTATGTGTTTGAAAGCATGAACGTTCAATAACCTGGCATCATAGAATAGTGTAATTAAAAGGCTTCCTTAGAGACAAAAACAGTTGTTTACAGTGTATATGTTTGTGACAAAGTTAGGACCCTAAAGAACGGCAAACTAAATAACGCTGAACTTCAAACAGCTAAATACACTCCAAAGTGATACATACTTGAACTATTTTACCTGCCAATAGATCTGCAAATCAGTCCAGTCAGTCTATTGATCCAAAGCCCTCTGCTAGACAGCACAGCCATGTCTGAGGCCTCCGTTTCTCCACTAAATCTAAAGTATAACTAAAGGTAAAGCTTACTTTTAGATTTGGATAGACTGGTGAAGTCTGTTAGGGATCTTTATTCTTTCTAATTGTTCTGATCACCAATGTCACTGGAATAAAAGTGAGTGTAAATCATTTTGAGTTGACACCAAAACAGGAATAGAAGGGAAATCTACTATTGGGGATACTAGTTCCAGTGACATATTTCCAAGATTGAATTTCCCTCACAATGGAAGGAATTCAATGTTGAGTTTATGGTGCAAGAAGTAGAAATCTCCCCAAATGAGACACAGATAGCAACAAAAATACATGACGGTGGTATTAACTTTTAACTACTCTAACCCCCAAAAAAGCTTTTGATTTTAGATTTATTTTAACCATTTGACGTCAGGGGTCTTAAGCCCACTTCCTGTTGAGGCCATTTTTCAATATTAAGTGCTGAGGTACTTTGACTGACATGTATTCAGTTATACAATGCCATATCAAAACTAATTATGTATCATTTGTTTGGGACAGATAGAGCTTTCTTTTGGTGGTATTTAATCACCACAGTTTTTTTTTTATTTTTACTATATGTAGAAAAAAAAGTACCAAACATTTTGAAAAAAATGTTTTTTTGGTAAAATATAAAAAATAGGTTCACGTTGGGTAAATAGATACCAAAGGTGTCAAGCCTTCAAATTCAGTGAAATAGCAAAAAAAAACCATACAAAAAATTGGCCATAGGTGACGCTTTAAAGTTTTTACCGCTCATCAATTTAGTGATAGATGGCCCTAAAATTATTACTCTCACTCCGACATAGTATGTAATATGTGTGGCAATATCGTTGTTTTTGCATGTAGGCACATCTGAAGGTTGTTTGCCTTTGTATGTGTGTGTACATGGGGGTGGGGGACTTTTAACAACATTTTTTTATGTTTAACTCATTTTTGTAAAGTTTTTTTTAAATTTAATTTAACTTTAAATCACATACAGGGCTAACAACCCCCCTATGTAATAACACAGATACAGTGTCAGGGCCTCTGAATAGAGACATCAGGGATCTATTATACCCCTAATGTCATCTTGGGACCCCAAAGAAGCTGATGAAGCGGAGACTTGCTTTACCAGCTTCTTCTCCAGCTACAGCAGTTAGAGAAATGACACGCTGAAAATGATGTAATACACATAATTTCTGCATTCAGTGATCGGAGGGCTCTTTCGCTGGCTGTTTGAAATGTTTACAGTGCCCTGTTCAGATGCATACTAAGGGGTGCATGCAAGCAGGAAAAAAACGAAACACAATCGCCATATATGTATGGCGACCTGCATCCAAAAACAAGCCGTCCATCCGTTTATATACAACAGAGGGACGGCAAGTGGTTGAAGTATATGTTAACTCGATCACTGAAGCCTCCCACAAGCTTTATCGTTTTAGTTTCAAAAGTAATTTTCAATGTTTTTAAATTGATAGCTTTAATTAAAAAAAACACATTAATCCTACCATAAAGGTCATTCTACAGACAGGAGCACACACCTGTGAAATATTCAAAGGCAGTTATGAAGTTACACCTCTAGAAGCCAAATGTCTGTGGAACCCTCAATGTTGAAGCACCTGAGCTCCAAAAGGTTGTAGCAGCATTTACAAAATGTAGAAAGAACGGGAAATGTGAAACAAATTCATAGAGACATGGTTTTATGAGCTGGAGGAACTGGAATGGCCTGCACACAACCTTTTTTGAGTCAGGTTTTCTCATTCAACATCAGTACCTGACTTCACAATATGTATTTGGCAAATTCCCCCAGATGCACGCTATAATCTTATGGAAAGTTCTCCCAGATTGTGGACAATGAAGGGCCCCTATTAACGGTTTTGGAATTGGATGTCCAGCAAGTGCACATAGTTGTGATGATCAGGTGTCCACAAACTTGTGGCTATATAGTGTTGGTGACTAGGTTTTTAACAGAGGCTTATTTGCACAACAGATATTGTTCACATTATTTTTATTACAACATAGAAAACTTTTCTCCAAATTAATTCACAAACTAGTGGGTTTTTTTCTGGTTAACTGCTCACGTGTATATACTGACATTGCAATACTCACTTACTGGCAGCTGGTGTATTGCTCAATCCCTGGCATTTCCTGTAAATAAGAGTGAAATATTTACACAAAGCATGGTGTTCAAAGGTGCATGGTATGATGACCACAGTTGCAGATAAACTTTCAGCTTTCATAACATTTTATCTCTAATCTAAATTATACCATAATATCTAAAACATAAGCATCGCTCCCTTATTCCCTTGTTTTGTTGTATTTTGTCTTTGTCTCCATTGCTATCATGTGTGAGTCATACCTGTCAAAAGACGTTCTAACTCTTCCCTGCAATGTGCAAAAACGAATTAAAACTAATTTCTACTTTAACAGCATGTGTTCATAACCACTCACATCTCTCGGGCACTGATTTGCAAATATACAGAGATCAGCCATAACATTATGGCCGCTAAAGTGAATAACATTGATTATCTTGTTATAATGGCATCTGGAAGTGGGTGGGATATATTAGTCAGCAAGTGAACATTTTGTCCCTGAAGTTGATGCTTAAAAGTGGAATATGGCAAGCGTAACTATTTGAGCAACTTTAATAAGGACCACATTCTGATGACTACGGGACTGGGTCAGAGCAACTATAAACCTGCAGGTCTTGTGGGATAGTCCAGGTCTGCATTGGAATGGTCAGGACCTACCAAAAGTGGTCCAAGGAAGTGAACCAGGGTCATGGGTGGCCAAGGCTCATTAATGCACCTGGGAGTGAAGGCTGGCCTGTGTAGTGCCATCCAATAGAAAAGCTACTGTAGCTCAGATTAGTAAAAAAGGTAATGCTGGTTCTGATAGCAAGGTGTGTGAACACACAGTGCATTGCATTGCAGTTTGTTGCATATGGGGCTGCATACCGCAGACCGATCAGGATCCCCATGCTGACCCCTGTCCACTGTCCAAAGTGCCTACAATGGGCACGTGAGCATTATAATTGGACCACGGAACATTGGAAGAGGGAGGTCTGGTCTGACGAATCATATTTTCTTTTACATCATGTGGATGGCTGGGTACATGTGCGTTGCTTACCTGAGGAAGAGATGGCAACAGGATGCACTATGGAAGAAGGCAAGCTAGCAGGAAACCTTGGGTCCTGCCATTCAAGTAGATAGAAGTGCACCGAAATGAAAATTTTACAACCGAAATGAAAAAAAATGTCTGGCCGAAACCGAAAACTTTTTCTAACTTTTTACATTTTTGTTAAATATTTAGTTTTTATTCCTTTTTTATAAATGTTTACATTTTTTAGCATTTTATTTTTATTTATTTATTTATTCTTATTAAATATTTTCATTTTTTACTTTACTTTTTACTTTTTACTTTACTTTACTTTACTAAACAGACCCCTGACATTTCCCTTTTAAAATAGAAAAAGAGATTGAGAACACAGAGCCCGCAATCTCTTTTTCTGTATCCCCTATTATAAATAAACAGGAATCCTCTATACTGAGTGTTCATTCATAACATGAGAACATAGTATGTTTACTATATCCACAATCATGAATGAACAGGAGGTGATGTAGATCACTTCCCATTCATTAATAATTTAGGATATAGTAGCCATACTATGTCCTCAATTATGCACAACCACTCAGCGATCACTGAGTGTTTGTACCTGCTCTCCATCCTGACACGCTGTCACAGGAGGTTGAGCGAGCGGGGCGGGGTGGAAAGCTCGATCTGACACCTGACTCCTCCCCTGCACCGCCGGCCTCCTGTGACAGCGCTGGCTGTCTTCTCCCCCACATACCACTCTCCTCTGATCTGTGCCATGAGGCTGATCTATGTGGGTGGAGAGACACTGGCCGCTCACAGCACTCTCCTCCTGCAGCGCCCGGCCACCTGTTACAGTTTCTTCCCTCTCCACTGGGACACAGAGCAGCGCCCAGCGGGAAGGAGAGAAAGAACGGATGCCAAAAGTGCCATTTTCGGCCGATATGTTTCAGCGGCCAATATATCGGAGCATCCTTAAAGGAGAACTGTGAGGTTAGTGCTTTTCACTCACCTCATAGTTTTAGCCGACCTGTGACAATGAGACTGTCACAGGTCGGCTCAGTAGAACGGGAGGTGAGCGAACATATACCGGCGTTCGCTCACCTCTCGATCCTGTCGTGGCTCTCTGCCGTGACAGGGGAGGGGCTGGATTCCCCCCTCCCCGCTCCGATCCGCCAGCGCTGACTGGCGGATCGGACGGGGGAGGGGGCGGGTACAGCTGGCTCTGC